GAGTTTCCAAAAGCAGAATAGGAGGAAGATCTTTGTTATCAGGTTCCTCTCTTGTGGAACCAACCTCCAGTTTCTGTCTGTGAGGCTGACACCTTGTACAGTTTTAAGACTGGGCTTAAGACTTTACTTTTTGATAAATCCTATAATTAGGGTTTACTTGTTATGCTGTCTTAAGCTTGGACTACTACAGGGCACATTGACCTCATTTCCTTAAATGATTTGTTAAAATTTAACAGTTTTCATTTGATACTATTTCTATCTTTACATGTGATTCTTGACCTGCCATTGTGTATCTGTTCCTACCAAACCCAGCTGGTCAAAGCAGATCATGAGCTTACTTTCTCAGGCGGATAAGGTGAGCTGGTCTGGGAAGCTCAGTCCTCACCTCCTTCTACAGGTGTGCAGTGGAGAGCATCCTGTGCTCCAGCATCAACATGTGGCATGGAGGCTGCACAGCTGCAGAAAGAAAATTGTTGCAGAGAGTGGTGAAGGCTGCACAGAAGTATGTTGAAGTCAGTCTACCCACCATCACAGACATCTACACCTCCAGATGCAGGAAGAGGGCCACCTGCATCATGAAGAACCCAACTCACCCAGCACACACACTTTTTGCCCTGCTCCCCTCAGGAAGGTGGTTAAGGAGCATTAAGTGTAGAACCACTAGACTGAGGAACAGCTTCTACCCTGAGGCTGTTAGACTCATGAATCTCTAACCAGGATAACCACTGTGAAGAATCACATTATGTTGCTGCTGATCTGCTTCATGTTGCTGTATTCATTTGTACTCATCTGCTCACACAGACTCATGTTCGTACTGCTGTTCAGCGTATTGTGTTTATTGTTTTTATGCATTTAGTCTTTTTCATTCAACCTTTATTTAGACAGGTTAATCCCATTGAGCCTTGAGGACTCATTTACAAGAGAGTCCTGGTGAGACCTGATTTAATGCTATTAGTGCTTAGTGTATTTTTAGTTAATGTTTTTCTTAATTCATATCTTAGATCTTATTACCATTTTTCTTTTAAATTTTATTGTTGGATATAACTGGGACCCGGTGTAGATAATTTCGTTCCACCACATGTACCACATGTGGTGCAAATGACAAAGAAACCTTACTCTGTCTAGATATGATGCAGTTATGCGTGATATTTTGTTAAATTATCTTGAGCGATTCAGAAGTTATGGGCAGGACTAGAGAAGGTTTACGCACATCTGTATGGGCAGATGAACAGAGACTCAGCATAACATATACCATAATATGTCAGCTTTCAACGGGCATATAACCATAGTGGGCCATTTTTTCTTGTTGAAAGAGTCAAAACTGAAATGATAATCAATTTTCTGCATAAAATCTATAAAATTAGCAGAGAATTGAAGGTTGCACATTTAGCAGTGAGTTCTATTAACAGTCTTTTCATCCAACTAACTATTCAGATTTAGACCTTCATCAGTTATTCCACTTCATATTGTCATTCGACATAATAGCCATATTGCCTACATAGAAAAAGCCAAAGTACTTGGCTCAATCAAAATGTAGTAGTTTTGTCAGTTTGAAGTTTACATTATTTGAACTTTTTTTTTTTTTTTATATATACCCAAGAGTTTGCTTTTATTTCAGAACGTTTTTCCCTGCTCCCGGAGGGTTGTAAGCCGCATCACACAGATAACAAAACACCATTTTTTCCTAATAATAATGGAATAAGGTTAGATTTAATCACACTACACTTTAATCAAAGGTGGATTTGAGGAAATGGTGCTCAAGACATAAGCGTCTACCTGGGAGTTATTGTCAGCAATGAACATCACTCCGAGGCCTGTTGCTTAGTAACTATGACTGGATTGAATTTTGACTCCAACGGTCCAGGGCTGCTCAGGTGGAGTTAGTTCGTCTCAACAGGAATTGATATTTCACATACACTGAATTTCATCTTTTCTGCAAGAGGGAGCCACATGAACACAAAATACATAAATAAAACCAAAATGCAATTACAAACCACATTTTAAACTAAACAAAAAAAAAAAAAAACTGATGAAATTATTAATATAAAGGGAAATTCTTATTTACCTACCCCTTTCTTTTTCCACATATTGGTTGTATGTTCATAGAACAAACAGAAAAGACACTCAGCTTAGACCAACTGCTGTTCTCCTAGTATAATTAACAGACCATGTGTGAGTCACAGATAATGCACTAAAAGAGAAAAAGGATGTGTCAAATATTGTCACAATCGCACCAAAGCTACCTTTGCTCTACGCACAAATGAGGACATCTTGTTCTGAAGTGTAATCATAGAGTAACAGACAGTATTTCCAACAACTGAAAAGACCAAATGCACAAGCAGTTAGGACCTTGTCAATATGTGAAGTCTGAAGGTGATGTTTCACCAGGAATTAGACAATTTTTGTGTCCTCCTAGCTCCTGAGTAAAAAACTGTCAGAAAAATACAAGAACTCACTTAATGATTTAGAGATGACTTGTCAAAAATGCTGGCAAAGTAAACAAATTGAACAGCTAAAAATATATATAACTGAAACAAATAAAATAAGTACTTTTTTACAATTAGAAAATCATACAATTAGTTTTGCCACCTTGTGGGTACATTTACAGTACCAATGAAACCAGTTTGTCCTTATAGCTTTATGGCCTCATTGTTTCTGAGCAGGTAAAAAATGAAATAACACAATGTTGTTTTCTTTTAGGGGTATTGCAATGCTGCAGGCATATGAAGCAGCTTTTGCTTAATCAAAGAAAAACGCTGAGGTCCTGAGTTATCGAGAGTTACTAGTGGAATAGGAAGAAAGCTGTGGCAGGGTCAAACAGTCAGTGGAAGGTTGCCAAGGATTTGTAGGGAGATCAATAAGGACAATCTTTAGAGAGCTGGGTTTGTAGGAACAACCTGAAGCAGTTAAATGAGCTCGGGCGAGAGAAAATAACTGATAATATGCTGGCTGGATCACATGTTTTCCAGTTTGTTTCAATGATGAGGCTCGTTTCAGACCTGCTCTGAAGAGTTTCATTCAGTGTGTGGGAGAGTGAAGTTTCCATCTGTAATTCAGTCCAGGGTAGCAGTAAACAAAAGTTCTAAAATAACTATTTTCATAATAGTGAAATGAGTGATTCATTACCAGACACTTTACCTGCTATATGATAATTGTTTGAAAAAAGAAATAAATAAAATGAAAGTGTTAAATGTACCACTCTGTCGACCATATGGCAAGAACGACACAAGGTGTTCATATTTATTGATTTATTCGTTTGTAAAGATTGTTGGCTGTTTCAGTTCCAGTATAATGCAGAATAATGTTGTGTTCAAGTTACAGGTCATGTTATGTATAATAACTCTTCTAGAAGCAGACCCACAACAGCATAATGACAAGTAACCTGTTTTAACGTGCATCCTTTTTCACTGTGAACACACTGATAAATAAAGCAGAATATGTGAGTGATTGTGATATTTTTTTTTTTTCTTAAACTACGTTTCAAAAACACAAAAATCAAGAAAAAAAACCCATTGTAGGATCTTCATATTGCTGTACACTGGCTGATAAAATGCCTTTGCAGTGCTCTGCAATAAAATACAAATCCATTTACTTTAAACATTTTATATACAGAAATAAATCCAGATCTATAAACAAAACTGTTGACCTAAAATTCAAACCTCCATGACGGTGTTCCAGACTGAAGCCCTTGAACTGAAATTCGTCTGATCAATTATAACTGTTTGCACAAAATTACTATTTTTATAACAACCTCTTCTGCAAAACATAACAAAAAAAATAGTTTAGATGTTTTAAACTATATTTCCAGTCTATTTTAATCAAATAAAAGTCTGAAAGAAATAAAAATAGAATAAAAAGAATAAACAAAAAAGTCTCTAAAAGGGCTAAGTAACACTGTTAAGACCTGATGGGTTAAATTTATTCATTAAATCTCAATGTTGAGTGTTACTGCTCTCTGCTAACATTTGCAATAAGCAAGACATAAAAAAAAACTAAAGTTTAACCAAAGGTCTTTATTTACCAGCAAATTGATTGTTTATTTTTTTGTTGCAAATTAGCTAAAATAATAATAACAATAATACTAATTATAATTATTATTAAAAAAAGACTATTCTTGAGTGATAATGATAGTGATGTAAATGATGCTCTTGGCTGATTTGTACCCTAATCCAGGAACAAACTTAACATTTTATGTTAAACTGTTTGCTCAAGAAGATTTTATCATCCACCTTCCCAACAGTCTATGAGAAATTATCAACCTTCACACATATGAATACTTTATTTTTTTAAATATCCACTAACAGTGGTTGGTACAGTTCCACTAATCTGCTAATAGCAGAACAAAGTTTTCATTTTGTGGATTAGCATTTTCGCTAACTTTGTAAACTTTTAGTGGAATTAGCTTCTGCTAAATTTAAATCTAGTAAATTCAAGTCTACTAATTTTTTTAAAAGACAATTCTCTGCAGTCTGCACTAAAAGTGTACATGAACATGGTGAGTTACACAGAACTATACTATGCAGAGCTGAGCAAAGCTAAGCGTCACCTTGTGACGCCACCACTCTGGCAGTGTCCCCCCCCACCCCCATATCTACCGCAAACCGTCTCTGACTCATGTCAATTTACAGCCAATAACAAATTTTAACATAAATGCCAAAACAAACCAGAATAGAAAAATAACATAAAAAAATAAAACATTTTCACACTCAAGAGACATTGTAAACAGTCAGGAACATTGTACACAATTCTTACCCAGTATGCTTTGTAACGCTCACATCGTCTCTGGGACGTGACTCTCTCACATGTGAATTCACACATCTTTACTTTAATACAAACAGATTTATTACTGAGAGACTATTGATGATGAATCAGAGCAACTTCTCAAGCGAAATATAACATGCTGATGTCGAATTATTTTTATGATGTTACATTTTGGCTTTAGTATTTCCTGGTAAACTGCAGACTTTCTGGATTCATAACAAAACTCAAAGGCAGACAAATCACTGGCCTTGCTGACTGGTTCATCTTGGTTGGCTTTCTTTCTGTCTGTAGTGGAAGAGACTGGTGGTGTCAAGCTCACGTGCATTACAAATAGCTTCAGCAAACAGCTTCACCACCTAACAAACAGGAAAAATAAATTAAAAAGAAAGTTATACGGTGAAACTTAGGAAGTAAAAATGATCACCCTCTGTTATGGATAAAATAACTTTAACTCACCTGATAATTAGTAATGAGAGGAACTCCATGGTCAACAGACATTCTGCGAATGAGGAAATTATCCTTCAGGTGGCGAGTGTTGTTATTAGGCAGGTTGACAACCAGATCAATATGACCCTCACTGATCAAGCTACGAAAAAACAAAAAAACATTCAGAATTAACACAAAGCTTTACTTTTAAACTTGACACACTGGTATGTGAGAAGAGGAGAATCCACGTTGCTTAAGGTCTAGTGTCAAGTTTCCACAGTCAGTGATGGTTTGGGGTACCATGTCATCTGCTGGTGTTGGTTCACTGTTTTCTGCGGTCAACACAGCCATCTACCAGGAAGTTTTAGAGCACTTCATGCTTCCTGCTGCTGACCAACTTCATGGAGATGCAGATTTCATTTTCCAACAGAACTTGGCACCTGCACACAGTGCCAAAGCTGCCATGACCTGGTTTAAGGACCGTGGTATCCCTGTGCTTAATTGGCCAGCAAACTCGCCTGACCTTAACCCACAGAAAATCTATGGGGTATTGTGAAGAGGAAGATGTGATACCTCAGACCCAACAATTCAGAAGAGCTGAAGGCCACTATCAGAGCAACCTGGGCTCTCATAACACCTGAGCAGTGCCACAGACTGATCGCCTCCACGCCACGTCGCATTGCTGCAGTAATAATAATAATAATAATAATGTCATCACAATGTCAGCACTGTATGTTTCCATACAATGGCGAAATTAGTCTCTGCATTTAACCCATCCACCGCCAGGTGGTGCAGTGGGCAGCTATTGAAAGCGCCCGGGGGACATTTTTGGGGATTAGACGTGCTGCCCAGAGACGCCACGTGATGTGCAGTGACT